CCATTATTATATATGGTAATAATATAATACTAGTTATAAAATTCGTAAAAATTATTAAAATATTATATAATTTTCTAATTAAAATTTTAACTTACTACAGTGAGGGTTGAACAATCATTTCAACATACCTCTTAAGTTTTTTTCACTAGAATTAAATAAAAGTTTAGTTTAGAAAACCACATGCATTTTCTACAAGCTACGGTTTATTTTGAACCATGGTTTTTTGAAGACTAGTCCTTTTTCCATATAAATCTTATAGAGTTACACCTCTATGGTAAATCGTCATCTCAGAACATAGATTATTATTTATTATTACGTAAATTGTTACTTTATTGAAATTGATCTCGCACAGCAATCAGYTCTTAACAGTCAATTCCAGAAAATCCAATTATGATTCAGTCCGGCTGTCCGGCATTGCGATTGATGATAGACAAAAAACATGTAACGACCCAGTGACAAACGTAAATAATTTAATGTATGTTGTTTAATATGGTAATGAATGAATTATTTAACACAGTTGATATGACGAGTATGGTAAATCTTATTTTAGCATTAATTGTTTGACGCTCAACTAGTACTTACAGAGTTGGYAAGCAATAAATTTAGGTAGGTACGTCAGGTAAAGACAAAACTATAAAATGCTTTAGTTACATAATTTTATTTTGCACATAAATATTGCATATTTTCGGGTTTATTTTTGCTTTGAGAGCATAATATAATCTCTTCTCTCTCACACACATACGTCTCGATGCACATTTCATAATTTTTTTTAAAAGACTGGCATATTTTTTATATTTTTTTAGATTGTTTCAAACACGAAGTATAATAAAATATATTCATAATATTATATAGTCAAATAGACGTTTTTAAAGTTTATATAATAACTCAGACTGATAATTGTCGAGCTGTAATAGTTGATACTAAAATATAACAGAAAAAAAAACACAGATTGATAGTTATATTTAAATGTATATTTTATGGAAAACGCTAGAGGCTGAAAACAGTGGCCATTTAATTGGCTAACGAAAAATGTAGTTTTAAGAGGTAAATGTATGTAAATATCAGTGGCGACCTGTCCAGTTTGATGAGACGGCGATCGCCGACTGGGCYCCCACCCCCTTCAAATTTATTGACAAAAATGTGTTCAAGGCCCAACGTCTTCTTAATTGTACCTAAATGGAGGGCGTTTTTTTATTGTAATTTGTGCCTAGGCCGCCATTGAAAATATAGCTGACAGCTGTATTAACGATTGTTTTTGTTATTACAATAAATATAATATGTATATCAATAATTATTATGATCCGGATAATAACGGCAGTGCTATCTACCGTTGTAGTGTAAAAACTTTTCAGCACAAATAATATTGTGATAATCTATCCAAGAATACCGTTCATTTTGGTTACTAGATAACTCTGTCGTATGGTAAATTGGTATAAAGATTTTTGTTTTAAATTTCATAGTTTCATATTAATATATTACCTATATTCGTCCATTTTTGAGTATTTCCAAATACTATAAATGACAATACGGGACAACTAGTGTCAAAAATCGCGAAATAAGTATGCCCCCTGATAAAGTAACTAACGCGCTCTAGGATTGTAATTTGTAATATTCAGCTATATAGGTAACAGAAAATTTTGATCAGCTGTAAAATACCAAATACTATAAATCATTTATAGTATTTGAAAATACTAAAACTAATTACTAAATAGTAAAAGTAAATACA